CTCCCTGGGCCTCGTGCAGCACCACTGCTGAAGGAACTCTTAGCAGCAGCAGCAGCAGCAGCAGCAGCAGCAGCAGCAGTACTGTGAAGGCGGCCCCCAAGGGAGCGGCGGACCCCGAAGCTGCAGCAGCAGCAGCAGCAGCAGCAGCAGCAGAGCGGAAGGCTCGAGGTGCATGCATACGAAGAGCTCAGGAGCTAGAAAAGATTTGGCTGCTGAGTTGGGCAGCCTGGCTGCAGAACCTCAGCAGCGCAGTTATTGACGGACGCAGCAACAGCAGCAGCAGCAGCAGCAGCGGCTACAAGTGTACACCGTTGCTTCAGGCAGCATGCCTTTCTGCATATATTGCCTTCTGCAGCAAGGCCCAGCAGCAGCAGCAGCAGCAGCAGCAGCACAGTTCTCCTGCACAGCGAAGTCGCCGTTTGCTGCTCCAGCATTTGCGGCAGCTGCAGCAACAAGTTCGAGAGGCTAAGGCAGCAGCAGCAGAAGCCGATGCTGCTGCTGCTGCTGCTGCAGGATTTGGAGAGGCAACGAGGCCCACTGCATGCACAGCAGCAACAGGAGGAGACCGTATGCGACGCGATGCCTCGGAAGCAGCAGCAGCAGCAGCAGCTGGTGCTGCTGCTAAACCAGCACGCGCTGCTGCACCAGCAGCAGCAGCAGCAGCAGAAGCAGCAGCTGCTGCTGCTGCTGTGTCTGATATAGATGATGACTACTGCATCCCCGCAGATGGTTATGCTGCTTTTTGTTTTATTTCTGGGTTTCATTTGCTGCCTGAGGGGCGTCTCCTGCACCCCTTCTTTGCTGCATCTTTGCCTCCTGCTGCTGCTGCTGCTGCTGCTGCTGCTGCAGTGCGTAGGGCGCAGAACGCCCACCAACGGCAGCAGCAAGCTGCTGCTGCTGCTGCTGCTGCAAGAATTTCAACCCAAGAGGTCGCTGCTGCCAAGTCCGCCTCAGAAGCAGCAGCTGCTGCTGTTCTCTCCAGCATGCGTCACGCCTCACTGCAGCAGCAGCAGCAGCACGAACGGCAGCAGCAACATCGTGCGCAGCAGGATGGAGAACACCGACTCACAGTCAAGAGCGAGAACCCCAGCAGCAGCAACAGCAGCAGCAGCAGCAGCAGCAGCAGCAGCAGCAGCGAGCGCGTGGCTTTGCTGCACCCTGCGTTACCCCTTGCTTCGTCTCGCCGCATGTCTTTCTCCTTTGGTTTTGCTGCTCTCCTAGGCAGAGCTGTAGGGGCGCTCAATTCCTTTAAGGGTTCAAGCTCACTTCTAGCACTCGTGCGTCTCTGCTGCTGTTGCTGTTGCTGCTGCTGTTGTTGCTGCTGTTGCTGCTGTTGTTGCTGCTGCTGCTGCTGCTGCTCGTGGAGGCCGTCACTTGACCAGAGGTGTTCGTATGCTGTATACACGGTGCTGCGCTTGTTGCAGCATCAGCAGCTGCTGTTGCTACTGCTCAATCTGCTCCTTCAGCTTCTGCCTGCCTCATCTGCTGCTGCTGCTGCTGCTGCTGCTGCTGTTTGCAGCTTTTTGTTGCGCTGTGCCGCGCCTTGGATTTGAATGCCAGGCTGGTGGTGCTGCTGCCGCCTGCGGAGCTGCGCATCCCCAAGAATGAACGTAAGCAGCAACAGCAGCAGCAGCTGCAAGTGCTGTTGCTGCTGTAGCAGTAGCAACACAGCGGCAGCACAACAATCGTCACCTTTGCAGCAGCAATTCCTTTTCAGTTAGCAGCAGCAGCACAATCGCGCGCCTGAAGGCAGCAGAAGGGCCGCCTCCAGCAGCAGGCGGCTTTGCCTCTGCTGCTGGGGACAAGCCGGTTTGCTGCTGTTGTATTAATTTTCTGCTGCTGCTGCTGCTGCTGCTGCTGTCTCACGACGTGTCTTGCAGGTGACAGTGCGTGCGTGTCTCCGCCTCCTCGCTGTATAGTCCGTCTGTTTGAGGCGGCGGGGCTGCCTCTCCCTCCTTTTGCTGCAGCAGCAGGAGCACCTGCAGCAGCAACAGCAACAGCAGCAGCAGCAGCAGGGGATGGACAGGTGAAGCAGCCGCTCTCAAGGAAGAGACAGAGAACTGCTGCAGCAGAGCTGGGGCAGCAGAAGTTGCTGCTGAGGGCATCTCCTTACGACTGTCTCTTTACTATTAGGAAGGAGCCCGATTCAGCAGCAGCAGGAGGAGCAGCAGCAGCAACAGCAGCAGCAGCAGCAGCTCCTACCCTCGTCACAGCCAGCGGCCGCATGCGTGCTGCTCCCACCCGTTTGCTGCCGCACAGGCGCCAGTGCCTCATGAGAGGGGAAGGAGCAGCAGCAGCAGGAGCAGCAGCAGCAGGACAGGAGCTGCTGCCTCCTCTGAGCCGTCAAGAGCAGCTGCAGCTGCTGCAGCTGCACTCCCCGCTGCAGGTGTGGGGAGAGTTCTTCTGCCCTAAAGAAGAGAGATGGATATCATGTGTCTTTAAAGGGCCTCAGCACTCTGTCTATGATGCAGCAGAAGCTCTAGCAGGACGCAAAGACCCCACACCTGCTGTTGCTGCTACTGCTGCTGCTGCGGCTACTGCTGCTACGGGGGTGGTGCTACGGGGGTGGACGGGCCTTCGCATGCAGGTGAAGCAGCAGCACAGGAAGCACTGCAGCAGCTCTTCCTTAAGCGCTGCTGTGCGCTGCAGCAGCAGCAAATAAACGAATTGGCTAACCTGCAGGAACGCAAGAAGCAGCAGCAGCAGCTGCTGCTGCAGCAGCAAGAGCTTGCTGCTGCAGCAGAACAAAGCGCCCGCTCCCTTACCAGCGGACTCCTGCTGTCGGAGAGGCCTCGTCAGCGCGCGGGGGCGAGACGCAGCAACAGCAGCAGCAGCAACAGCAGCAGCAGCAGCAGCGACAGTGAATCGGAAACTGAAGCAAATGCTGCAGCAGGCAAGACCCAGGCGTATGGCAGCGCAGAGACAATAAGCAGAGACACTTCCGACAGCACAGCCTACACAGCAGCAGCAACAACGGCAGACGCAGCAGCAGCAGCAGCAGCAGCAGCAGCAAAAGGAGCAGCAGGGCGTCCTGCTGCTGCTTTGGGGTTAAGGTGGCCTCGCTACTGGGAGGCCGGGCGCTGGGGGATTCTCTTTTTAAGGCCAGACCACCTAGCCCTACTGGTGTTCCCTTCGCAGCAGCAGCAGCAGCAGCAGCAGCAGCAGCAGCGCGTGCTGCGGTCTCCTCTGCTGCGGACGTTATTGTGGCGCCTCCAAGGCAAAATGTTAAACCCGCCGCAGCAACTGCAGCAACTGCTGCTGGATGTAACAGAAGCGGAGGAGAGTGCGCAGGGTGATAACACCAACAGTAGCAGCAGCTGCAGCAGTAGCAGCAGCAGCAGCAGCAGCAGCAGTCTGCGCGACACCACCGCAGCGCCGCACGAAATAGCAGAGGAGGCAGCGCTTATTGCTGATGAATTTGCTGCTGCATGGAAGCAAAGTAGCAGCAGCAGCAGCAGCAGGAAGCGAGGCCTGACACAGTCTGTAGGGCGTCCCGGCAATGCAACCCGGGGCAGCAGCAGCAGCAGCAGCAGCAGCGGCAGCAGCAGCAGCAGCAGCAATAAACGCAGGGCTGCAGGGCCAACAAGCTGCGGTGAACTTTTGGGGTTAGATTTTCTTCGTGCCCGGAGACAGGGGAGGGGAGGCCTGCTGCAGCGGCAGCAGCCTCCTCTGAAGCAGCAGCAGAAGCAGCAGCAACACCAACAATCCCTTCCGCAGCAGCAGCAACAGCAGCAACCGATGCACGAAGAGACAGCTACAGACACCCTGGCGCCGAAAGAGTCTGCTGCTTCTGTGGGGCATCAAACTCTGCAGCAGTCTGGATCGGGCTTCTCCATTCTCTTAAAGACTCAGCAGCAGCAGCAGCAGCAGCAGCAGCAACAGCAGCAGCAGCAGCAGCAGCCGCTC